AGAAAAAAGAGTGGCCAGAAAGAAATGAACTTGGATATGCATACAAAACAAGACACAAGTGTGATGGTTTTGGCTGGTAATGTAAACCAAACGAGCTAAAACATCCTGTTGGTTTAATTCTATCCAAGACCTAGCAATACCTGTAATACAGTAGAGTGGAGCAGATAAAGACAAACTTGTTTACAAGGTTTAAGAAATTGATTGAACCCTAAGGCCCAGTTATGTTATATCAAGTACTACATAATCCATATCTGTAAAAACAGCCGACAGAAACAAGAACCATAAAATATTCCAGCAAGACAAAATGGCAATCTTAAAGGTGGTTTTGATTCTGATCATACTTATGTCTCCACATCCCAATAAAATAGCTCAAATTTTTAAACAAAATTGCAAGCAGACCTTTTGTTCATCAAAATAAGGGACAACTAAGCTAATGCATGGCATATATCTGGCAAATAATAATATGGATTGGCAATTTAATAAGGACATGTATTATAATTGATATCTTAGCAACAGAAAACAAGTGTTTAACAAAGGTACGGTTTACTTAATGCACCAAAACTCATTTAGTTAAGATGGATAGGCAAGCAACAGGAACTGCGGTTCTTCCCAAAGCAGATGTCATATTGCCATGAAATTTTTCTGGCAGAAGGACAATTAACACGCATAAATGCTACTTACATAATCTGCAAATTTCTGTATTGGAGCTTTGGACATCTGGGCTGTCTCAACCAAACTAATTATCTGGCTCAATACAGCATCTGATCCTACTTTAGTAGCTTGTATGTGAAGAGCACCATGTAAATTTATTGTACCTCCAATAACTGATGAACTACCTTCCTTCAGAACAGGAGCAGATTCACCAGTTAACATGCTTTCATTAACATGACTTGAACCCCATACAACAATACCGTCTGCAGGAACTTTGGTACCAGGAAGAACTTTTAAACACCGTCTGCAGGAACTTTGGTACCGGGAGGAACTTTTAATATGTCACCAGGCTGAATAAGTAATGAATCTATCTCCCTTTCTCCAATGCTCTTTCCACCTAGAATATGAACCAACATCTGCTCAGTTATTCAATGGTTTGGTTTTCTTTATTATTATTTTTTTAGCCTGAATAAGATTGACAGGAAATTATCTATTTTTCGATATTGGTGATAGGCATATTTAGAAAATTTTGAAAGAGATAATTCCAAACCATATCTCAAGAACAAGAGGTTAAAAAGAAAAGCTAAAAAAAAATACCTTTGTCTTTGACAACCAGCAGTGCTGTTGCTGGAGCAAGTTGTACTAGCTTCTTGATGGCATCTGATGTCTTTCCCTTGGCAAGGCACTCCAAATACTTTCCCAACAATACAAATGTTATCAGCATGGAACTTGTTTCAAAGTATGTTGGGGACCAAAAGCCAGTGACTGCACCATATAGTAGCGCACAAACAGAGTAGAAGTAAGAGGCTGAAGTTCCCAATGCAACTAAAACATCCATGTTGGTCGAACCATTTCGAAGGGCTCTACCAGCTGCCACATAGAACCGCTTCCCAATTACAAATTGAACAACACTCACCAATGCCCACTTTAACCAATCACCCATTAGGAAGGGTCCACAGCGCCAGAGCAGCAAGGAAGACAACAGTGGTACATAAGGGCAAATTACTCGCATGAAAAAGATGGGAATCTGGATCCAATTCATCAAATGCTAATGATGAATACAATGATAAACAATAAAAAAAGACTAACAAAGAAACAAAGAGATGCCTACATGGGCTTTTCAAGTATACTAAGAGAAGATGTCATGGTAGCAAGATTCCCAGAAGAATGCATGAATACAAAATGCCTTCTCAATTATCCTCAGTCCTTGGAAGAAACCAGGAAAGTGTATAGTGCAAACTTGTGCATGCAAGCAACAAAGATAATGAAACCAATTGTAAACTAACATCAACGCATTCAACAACCCCCACACAAATACTCGTAGAAAAGAAACATTAGGAATATCATGTTGAAGAGGTAATCAAAACCATTAATGTTTAAAAATACTCACACTAAGAAACAGGCTGGAAGCATGTTAAAAAATACTCACACTGAGAAACAGGCTGGAAATGAAAAGTCGAAACATAACAGAAATTTCTCCAACATCCTTAGAAGTCATTCTTGAGTAAGGGTTAATAACATGTAATTTGAACTTCCCATTGCTCCCTCCCTCAACTCCATCAACCAAGGATCTAGAACCTACAACTTCAGGGTCAAAGAGAACTTCTAGTTCACTGGATAACTGGTTGTAACGGAATTGCCGTACTCCTTTAAGCATTATCAGTATTCCCTCTAAAAGCTGCACATCCATCTCACTGAATATCCCAGCAACTCCTAGTAATATTTTATCCTGTTGACTACTCTGTACAAGAGATGCATCAAAGCCTGCATCTTCAATAGCATTCACTATATCATCTTTGCTAATTACAGTAGGGTCATACTCAACTTCCCCTAAAGAAGTAGCCAATGCCACCACAGCCCTTTTGACACCAGGACAATTTCTCAAAATACCTTCAACAGAGTTCACACAGGCTGCACAGGTCATACCTCCAATTGTGAATTGCCCCAAAAGGGTTCCATTTGGCTTTTTTTTTAATATACTAGGTTCAGATAGAATCTCTGCTTCAAAACCTGCATCCTCAATTGCATTCTTGATATCATCGTCCTGAATTAAGACATTATAAACTACTTCAGTAAATTTATGTACACAGCAATTAAGCCATGCAACGTAATAGCCCATGCAGTTTTTAAGCCATTACAGAAATGGAAACCATGTGAGATAAATTTCTCAATAGTAATATAAACTTATAAACATCTAAGAGAACCCGTTGTCAAGTTGTCTTTAAGCAACTGTGGAAACTCATTTTCATAAGCAACACATACATAACCTTGAAATTCATAAATCAAATATAGTTGAAGCACTGCTATCAAGTAATTCGCATAGATAATTTAATTTAATCAAATTTAGTTGAAGCATTGCAATCAAGTATGGGGGTTTTTGGAGTACCTGAAGATTTCATTTTACCAAATCCCCACACCACAGCAAGAAATTTAACCAGAAATAGGGACACAGAATTTCAAAGTCAAACTTTCTGAGTGTATCCATGCACAGAAATGTAGGAGCAAGAAATCTTTAACTAGAATGCATCCCGAGTAACTGGTAATATCGTATATGCCCAGTTGTTCGGCCTTATCAATAGCAATGTCAATGCATACCTCTCTTATCATGTAGGACTAATATGTCTTCTTAGATCTCTTCTAACATCAGAAGCACTATAACCATAAAGAAATTCCTCAATAAAAGTCTGTCCAATGATCCATAAATGCATATAAAAAAAATTACCATGTTCAAAATCATACGAACTCAACATCGATCAGAAAACTAACCTCGTGCTTAAAAGTCAAAGTACAGCAGTGTTAAAAACTTTGAACAGCTAATAATTCAGCTCAAAACACCATGCTATAAAAACAACTTCCAATCCATCATCAGCTATAATAATTAAAAGAAAAAAAAACACAAGCTGAAAATAGAACTTCTTCAGATTTAGAACTAACGTACGATCCATCTCAGTACCATAAACCAGTAACTAAAGAAATACCAAAACAAAATTTAAAAATAACCAACACAAAATCAAAGTTACTGACTAAATTATAAGAAGCTACGAATTTAAAAAAACAAAAAACAAAAAAAGGTAACAAAAACATACATCTCCTAATTCATAACCAGGCACCAAAATCAAAATTCAATTAGCCATCACCACCAATACCAACCTACCTTAACCAAAGCAGGGTCGAATACGACGTCAGCTTTATTTTGAAGCAAAGCAACAGAAGCTCTGAAAACCCCATGAACACTCTTCAATGCTGATTCAACAGAATTGGAACAAGCAGCACAAGTCATCCCTGTAACTCTCACTTGAATTCTCTTAAACCCATCTTCTCCAATCACAATTGCATGCGAAGCGTCATTATGATCGTCCCGGCTTTCACAGGAATCAAGAAGCCTAACATCCTCCATCATGTCATCGGTGTAAACCATGGCCAGAGGGGATTGCCGGGTGCCCGCCACCTGGGTCAGCTGTAGGTCTCTCATGCTAGGTGACGTCAATACGGGTCACAAGCAGAGCCAATCTCTCTCGATGTACTCAAGAAATTTAAAATGGAAATGGAAAGAAACACGGAAGAAAGAGAGATTCTGGGAGGTAGAGAGAGGGAAGACTTAATGGTGGATGGTATATTAAAATAATATGTGTTCTATTTTTTAAAATTAGTATATTAAAATAATTTAAAAATATAAAAAAATTAATTAAAACTAAAAGAATTTTAAAATTTTTCAAAAATATTTTTTAATCAAAAAATAAATACACTCTAGAATCATATTTAGCCTCCCGTCTTAACCAAAGTTTCGCACATTTTTAAGTTTTTTTAAATTAATTTCTTAAAATTTTTAAATTATTTTAATATGTTAATATTAAAAATAAATTAAAAAATAATAGTTTTAATTATTTCAAATAACCTAAATTTATAATTATATAATTACCCTTTGTACTTCCATTACTGGTGATTTTGTATTCCTATTAGGATATTTTGTTGCTTTTTATTAAATAATAATATAAATTATATTATAAAATTTTATTTAATAATTTAAACTTTTAGGTTGAGATAATTTTTTAATATGATATTAGAGTTTTGATGACCAAATGATCACGAGTTCGAATCTCATCATCCCTATTTATTTGATAAAAATAAAACATAAGTTAAAATAAGCAAATACAAGTTTCAAATCCAAAAGATTTTTACTTAAGAGGTGAGTTAGAGAATAATATAAATTATTTTTTGAGACTTTATCTAATAGTTTAAGCTTTTGGGTTAAGATAAAATGAGCATGTGTAAGTTTCAAGTTCAAAAAACTTTCACAATCTCTATTTATTTAATAAAAATTAAGCACAAAATAAAATGAACACATACAAATTTCAAATCTGAAAGGTTTTTACTTAAGGAGTGTGTTAAAGAATAATATAAATCATATCATGAAACATCACCTAATAATTTGAATTTTTAAGTTGAGATGAAATAAGTATACACAAGTTTTAAGTCTAAAAGGCTTTTAATTTAGAAAATGTATTAAAAAATAATATAAATTATATTATGAGACCTCACTTAATAGTTTAAGTTTTTTAGTTGAGATATTTCTTTGATATTTTTAATATATATTAGTTGGTTATAGTTTTTCTTTAATAAATAATATCTATAACATTAGAGGGAAACATATATTAGGACAATCTACATTAGAGTTTTTTTTACTCCATCATGGTGAAAAATAATAAAATAATATAGTGTTTAGAAAAATAATAAAGTCTAAAGAGATATAGATGATATTAATAATTTATAATTTATGAATTGTATTTATTATCTGTAATTTTCATAGTTCATAAAATTATTAAATATAAAATTTGATAGAAAAAAAAACAAAAAGAAAGTAGTCAGAGAGAAAAAAAGATCTTAGAGATATTTCTAAACTCAAATGATAATACCCTTGATATTATTAAAAGATTTTGACAAAACAACTTCAATTATATAAAATAAGGTCACAAATTATAATTGGAGTGGGCTATATTAGTAGCTCAAAGACAAATAAACCTCAATATTTTTGAATTGTCTATGTAACTCACTTTATTTACTATTTATTATTTTTTTGATATTATTAGTTTTTTTAGTTGAGATCTTTTTATTGTATCTATAATGTTATCATTATAGTTTTGATACAATTTTGATTTTTGTTTATTTTTATACCATCATATTTTAAAATAATTTAATTATATTATTATAATCTCAATTATGTGTTCTATAATAATATAATTATGTTTATTTAAATTGTTTTTATAGTTTTTAAACACTATCAATACAGATCTACATCCTTAAAAAATAGTGTAATTCTTTAGTTGTTTAGCATTTTATTTATTTTCCAACCGAGCACTAATATTTAATTTTTTTATTGATTCAAATTGAATTTAGAAATGTTCTATTCTAAAACTAAAATCAAATGGTAATAAAATTTTAAGAAATGTACACCAATAAACAGATCTATAACTCAAATTGCAGATTTTTTCTTCTTCTTTAAAAGACATCAATTAATAACACTTGAATATTATTTTCTACATTAAAAAAATTCAACCCGGCTCGCTGTGACACGTACACCACCCGTATAGTTGTCCATCAAGACTTATGAATCTTTTGGGAAAGAATTAATGAGCAAGTCGAAATCACGTACAAACTAGACAAATAAATGAATGGACGCGTGGCACTGTTTAATATAGATAATGTTTAAAAAATTAATAAAATTATAAATTTAGGAGACTCAAATGATAATGATAAATCATGAGACTCAATCTATATAGGATAGTAAAACGGATGCAATTTTAAGTGTTATATGGTTACGATATATGAATTGTTTATGTTTAAATTAATAATTTACAATCTTAATTAACCAATAATATATACTTTGAAATCAAATAAAAAATTAACACGTGTAGTCGTTCCCTCTTGTCATACATGTAGGTAAAAATGAGAAAAATTAAGATGTTAATATCAAGTTGAAAAAAGAAAAAATCATGAGAAGCTTTTTTAACTAGAAACTTTAAATCACAATTTTTTAATATAGTTTTAATTTAAAGTATTTTTACTTAAACCAATTGAAAACTCATATCATAGGTTTTAAATATTTTAAATGCTTATTGAATATTTTGGGATGGAATATAAAATAAAATAAAAACATTTCTTATGCTATATCAAAATCCTTCAAGCTGGTAAAAGAATTTATGATAGTATAGAAATTGAATTATTATTATTTGAACCCATGATATTTTTCAGTTAAATCTCTTTTAAATAAAATTATAAACTCAAGGGATACAATATTATTTATTAAAAAAAGAATAATTAAGGATTTAAATTTAATATATTGTATATTTCTTAAAATTTCATTACCATTTGATTTTAGTTCTACAATAGAAAATTTCTAAATTCAATTTGAATCAAGTGATATAATATTATTCACACACCTCCAACTCAGCCCAAAAATACACAGATAGCCGCATAATATCTCCTCACTCATCTGCAACCAGCCCCAAGGGTAAGCTCTTAACTGCTTTTCCATCGTCTTCTGTTTTTACTCTAGGTTTTGCATGATGGTTACTATTTACATTATTTATTTTATTTTATCTCTACTAGTTTCACAATAGCGCATTAAATTCATTTCTAAAGAATTATATTATCACCATTTTATGTATGTGTGTGAAATTTTTTTTTGAAAAACAGTAACTAGCACCCTTGTATTTTTATTTTTATTTTTATTTGCTTTTCTTTGCTTTTATTTAGTGGCTTTCCACCCATTAGTTTTATTTCATAGAATTGTGCTACCCCCCTCCCTCCTTTTTTTTTTTTACGTAAGCACAGGTGTGCAAAAAAATTCATTTTCAGAACTTGATAACTTTTCACTTGCAATTATTTTTATTTTTATTTTAATTTAAATATTTTTAAAATAATCACTAAAAGATTTCACAATTTTATCGACGGATAAATTCCATCGGTATAAAATTCAGAATTCGTTGGTAATTTTTTTATCTACTAAATTTTTGACAGCAAACGTGCATCGGCATAACGTTTATCGGTAATACTGAATGTATCGCTACGTCTATCAGTAACAAAAAATATTATCAATGGTTTTACAGATGAAAATTATGAGTTAAAAAATTTTCTTACTTGAAATATATCGACGAATTTCTTTTAGAGGTGATTGTGACATATCTAGTAAATATTTTTTAGCTCCCGATTAAATATCGATGGACGATATCATTCTATAAATTTGTCAGTGAGTTTGGCATTTTCACCATTCTATGAAATGCCGATAGACTTTATCTGTTTTTAAATTCATCAGTTATTATGCATTTGTACCAAACTATTGTGAAATGCCGATGAAAGTTATCCGTCTGTAAATTCGTTAGTGATGGTGGCATTTCTCGCTCTCTGTCATATGCTAACGGATGCATTCCGTCTGTAAATCCCTCGGTGGGTATTTTTAAATTTGTTTTTTAAAAAAATTATTTAGAATAACTAATATAACATTAGATAAATTAGTAGTAAAAAAATCAATTATACAAATAAAATTTTATTAAACATCACAAACAAAAAAATAAAGTTAAATAATATTCATTACAAATTCAATGTATTTCAAAAAAAATATTAAATTAGCACAATAGTGAAGCGGGAGGAGGAGAAGGAGGTTGGTTGTTATATTGACAAAAAAGAGATGTGCATGTATCACCACTCTGTGATGTCATGTTCATAAACATTTCACAAATCTGTTTATAATTCGCCGAGAGTTGCTTGTATTTTTCGGTGAGATGAGTCGTGTGTTGTTAATAATTCATAGATAGTTGCTCGTAGTTTTCAGTGAGATGAGCCGTGTGTTGCTGTAAGGCCACAAACTTCTTAGATTGGGTACTCGATACTGATTGGGAGCTCCTAATGGTTAAAACATTACGGGCCGCCTGCAAGTTCTCAGCTGTAGTGTTGGAAAGCCTGTACACCCGATTTTATCGGGTCCACCAAACGATCCTACCTCCATTCACAAATCTGGATGGGTCAAAAGATCGTCCCCATATTTCTCCCTCAACCGGCTATTATAAGTCTCCCGAAAATAAAAAAATCAATCATCATATTGAATTCAATAAAAATAATAACTTGTAAAATAAAAAAATTTGAACAAACATACCACAAAGTGTTAAGCACGGTTATCAATAAACTATTGTGCCCCATTTTGGCAATCTTGACTCCTCACGTGCATCTCAACTTACAACTTCATCGGGCTTAGCTCACGTCCAAGAGACGTAGCCTGTAAGGAAAAAAATTAATTAAGTAACAATAAATTATTTAATGATATATTTCATTTAAATTAATCTTACCATTCGTTTCGCATGTATAGCAAACAGAACGGAGCCGTTGGTATGTGTTGTCATTAAACCATGAATTGGTTGGTTTTGGTTGCTAGCACCAGAAATTGAGCGTCGTATGAACCGCTTAGATGTCACGGGCTCAAGATATTACGACCATATATATGTCAGGATGTATAGCGGTTTGAAATCCCTCCAAATCACCACGTCGATCCAGCCTTAGAGATCATTATCTTTCGTGTG